TTTTTTTTTTTTTTTTTTAATATTAAAGATCGAGTTAATTTTGTTTTTTGGTTTTTGGTTTATTATATAGTTTAAAGTTCAGAATTTGTAATCTAAGTTTGTTTGAAGAGCAATGTTTTAGCTTCAGCGATTTAAGATTCGTTGAGCGACCTATCAGTAAGGATATTAAAGATTGGATTAATTTTGGACATGCACAGATTTTTAGTTGATCTGTTATGTATATATCGGGCTGTATCGCGAATTTTTACATATTTTTATATTTTTGTGACAAACATGTAATTTATGTAGCTTCGAATTTTTAATGCATACAAGTCCATGGTTATTATTTTATCAAATTATTTAATTTTTTAAATATCGAAGAATTTCGTTTTTCAATATTAATTATCGTTTCATTCGTCCAATTAAAAGTTTGGTGGAACAATTTATTTTAGAAACATGATTACCTGATATATTTATTAAATTTTATAATAAATACTATAAACATATTTTTACATGCTTCACGCATGTTGGCATCATTTTTCATCCATGACAGCATAAATTTAGAAATCACTTCTAATCTGAGAGTTTTTAATTGAAGCGTTCGACGAATAAGATTAAATTCAAATAAATTCCAGTTATTCACGTACTCGATAAATTAAACAGAAAATAAAAAGAAGAAACTCCAAAAGTTTTATCGAATGCACCCATCTCGATTCTAGTTCCTTGTATACTTTCTAGCATCCTCTTGGAGGAGAAAAGAAACTACAACTAGCAGGCTCCGTAGAATCCTAAGGGAATTTTATTTATACAAATAGAGATTGTAGCAGTACCGTAGGAATTTTATTAGACTGTCTTGTTTCTGGTAGGAAACTAGGCTTGCAAAACAACTTTACACGTAACAAAAGCAATTCTTTTAAATTCGCTGAAATACATACAACATGCATAACTCAGAATGGAATTAACTCAGAGATTAACTTTTCAACAAAATCTAGCTTGCCCGAATGAAATTTATCAAAATAACAGTCATTTTAAATTTCGACCTAAATAGTAGCCTTTCGTTACTAAATAAATATTATAATAATTTATTATATTTATTCTACTTTCAATGTTGCGTAGTCATGCACAATCATGACTCACGAGTGATAATTCGAAATTATTTACGTTCGATCCTAACGGACTATCGATTATCTCTATCGTGCAAAATATAGATATACGAGCTCTAAAATTAACTCGATTCAATCAGTGGGATCAGTTACGATATCATAAAGGTTTATTTCACCTCATTAAACGTTTTCGATTCATAAACTCCCTTTTATTTTCAGGTGGGAAAATAAACGGGAAATCAGAAATATTCGAGGATCGAACGTAGCTCTTTGTATCTATCGAAAACCAGTGAACGAGTTAATCGAGCTCTAAAGCTGTAGTTTTATTTGGGGAAGTGGGTCGATACGTACAGGGTGTCTCGCATGTTCTAAACAAGCACATTGGGGGATGATTCTATACGTAGAAACGAGTCGAAAAAGAGGAATAAAACTTTTTCACTACACTTAATTCTTAATTGATACTACCGAACAAAAGATTCACAGTGATCTGTATTATATTACAAAAATCCAAGGTATTTAACTTTACTTTGCATTTATTGTATATTCTCCTTGATCGAGATTAATAGTAGTTAATTGATAAAGTGAAAGTCAAATTGAAAATTTAGTCCGCAACTCATATCATCGAACTGTAAAACTTTGTATTATATTACAAAAGTTCGAGCTATTTAACTTTATTTCTCTGGCAGAGCAAATTACAAAATTAAATCAAATTGAAAATCTGAAAATTAAGCTTTTTAGATTAAATTATCTTTTTAAAACACTACAAATCCATTTTGTTCGATGAACTGCGCGTAAGATTGAAACGTGAAAATTAGGGTTAAATTTCTCTCGAGAACGAGGAAAAGGATTGAATGAAAAAAACTTTCCATTTTATCCAGGGTGTCGTTCACGTGTATGTAGGACACCCTGTGTATATTTTGAAAATAAATCGAGAGACGAAAAATAAGGGAGAAACGGGGAGGAGAAGGGGAATGAATGCCTTGGGGGGAGTTTAATTGTATATAAAAATAGAAGTCTGGCGTTTGTGTTAAACAAATTCGCCTGGTCTTGTTAAATCGTTCGTTCGAAACTTTACGGGCGCGATAAATTCTCGTGAAAAGCTGTATAAAACGGTGTAACAAATAAATAAATCCCTTTCGTCGTGCGCGAAAAAATAACACATTTTTTTTCGGATGAATTGTTTATTTTACTTGCGGTTGTGGTT